GTTGTTGAGGAGGAGGAAAGTAAGTGGGGCGTGAAACCTGCAGAGGAGCAGAGAGCGGCAGCAGAGCTCAGGATGTGGTCACAGAGCAGCCTGCAGCTCCTGCTCCGTGCTGAGAAACCACCGAGGCGAAACCTTCCTCTGCACCACAACCTCCGGCTCTCTGAGCGCACCTGCATGTGTGCAGCAACACCCACGCAAACACACAAACACGCTGCACGTCTCTGAGCAAACAGCCGGGAAAAAAACGTCCATTTCTGTGTCACACAAGGCTAAAAATCAACCATGTCTTTAAGTTTTTATGACAAACAACAGATGTTCAGTGTGATCGGGGGGCGGAATTTTCTCGTTAAATATTTTTATGCTGATCACAAACATAACCGATTCTGTTGTCGTTGAAACACAGCTGCCAATATCATATCTGAACCTCTCAGAACGGCTCCATTTTATTCATCAAAACCCAAATAAAATCCAATTTCACAAAACTGATAAGGCTAGCAACACTTTTAAAGCCATGAAAGAGGTAAACTCTTAGAAGCGGCTCATTGAGGGAAAAGGGATGCAACACAAATACCAGATGTTCCTGGTTATCAACTAAAGGAAAGATTCAACCGATGAAGACAAAAGCGGCAATCAAATACCAAAAAGACAAACAAACTGAACACAAAACCAACTGCACTCAAACAAGAGGAACCAAGGTAGTTCAAACAAACAATAAACGACCAAAATCAAATTGTTCTAAACAGACCAAATTAAATTCAACTTTAAACGTGTGGTCCTGATTGGTGGAATGGCCTCCTTGCAGGTGGATGCATCAGTTCATTACTGCAGGAACCTTGGGAGCTGTAGTCAGGCCTCACGAAATAGAGAGAAAGTCAGTTCCCCACCCAAGAATACAGCAGTGGCCATAACAGATGAACAGAACTTGCGTCGTAGTTATAGCCTTGATGTTGATCTTCACACAAAAGCACAAACAACTACAGGGGTTGGACAATGAAACTGAAACACCTGGTTTAGGACCACAATACTTCATTAGTATGGTGTAGGGCCTCCTTTTGCGGCCAATACAGCGTCAATTTGTCTTGGGAATGACATTTACAAGTCCTGCACAGTGGTCAGAGGGATTTTAAGCCATTCTTCTTGCAGGATAGTGGCCAGGTCACGACGTGATGCTGGTGGAGGAAAATGTTTCCTGCCTTGCTCCTCCAAAACACCCCAAAGTGGCTCAATAATGTTTAGATCTGGTGACTGTGCAGGCCATGGGGGATGTTCAACTTCACTTTCATGTTCATCAAACCAATCTTTCACCAGTCTTGCTGTGTGTATTGGTGCATTGTCATCCTGATACACGGCACCTCCTTCAGGATACAATGTTTGAACCATTGGATGCACATGGTCCTCCAGAATGGTTCGGTAGTCCTGGGCAGTGACGCGCCCATCTAGCACAAGTATGGGGCCAAGGGAATGCCATGATACGGCAGCCCAAACCATCACTGATCCACCCCCATGCTTCACTCTGGGCATGCAACAGTCTGGGTGGTACGCTTCTTTGGGGCTTCTCCACACCGTAACTCTCCCGGATGTGGGGAAAACAGAAAAGGCGGACTCATCAGAGAACAATACATGTTTCACATTGTGCACATCCCAAGATTTGCGCTCCTTGCACCATTGAAACCGACGTTGGCACCGTTGGCAACGTTGGTCACTCGTGCCAATGCACGAGTGACCAAAGTTTTGGCTATAGCAGCCCGGCCGTGTATATTGACCCTGTGGAGATACCGACGGACAGTTTTGGTGGAAACAGGAGAGTTGAGGTGCACATTTAATTCTGCTGTGATTTGGGCGGCCGTGGTTTTATGTTTTTTGGATACAATCTGGGTTAGCACCCGAACATCCCTTTCAGACAGCTTCCTTTTGCGTCCACCGTTAATACTGTTGGATGTGGTTCGTCCTTCTTGGTGGTATGCTGACATTACCCTGGATACTGTGGCTCTTGATACATCACAAAGACTTGCTGTCTTGGTCACAGATGCGCCAGCAAGACGTGCACCAACAATTGGTCCTCTTTTGAACTCTGGTATGTTACCCATAATGCTGTATATATTGCAATATTTTGAGCAAAACTGTGCTTTTACCATGCTAATTGGACCTTCACAGTCTGCTCTTATTGGTTCAATGTGCAATTAATGAAGATTGGCCACCAGGCTGGTCCAATTTAGCCATGAAACCTCCCACACTAAAATGAGAGGTGTTTCAGTTTCATTGTCCAACCCCTGTATATACACAGCATAGCTCAATGTGTATTATATATCTGTGTTTGTATTGCTATATTCATATTTTTCAAGCACTTAATCATCTCTTTTTGCTCCACATTTCTTTGATAAACATGTTTGTTGTCAAAAAGCCCCGGTCTGAAAAACGGTGACCAATAAAATGCAGGATAACATTAAATGACATGACACGCACAAATGAAACCGAATGCAGAAGTTGGAATGAGTGTTCATCTAAATGTTCAAACTTGAACTGGCCTGTGCGGAAGACTAAAAAACATGAAGCTTCAGCAAAGGTCAGAGTGCAGGTACTCTGACACTGATAGCCCTGTGGAACAAATGTGCCAAGGTGTAAAAAAAACAACAAACATGTTTCAGTAATGTCAAACCAACGCTACGGTGTAATCACACATAGGCACTTCAACTTAGTGAAAACTGTGTAGCAGCTGGCCAGATGTCAGGGTGCCATCTGCTGGGTAAACCTGCAATGCATCCGTCAAGGCAGCAAACCCCTCAACCATCCATCCATCCATTATCGTTACCTCTTATTTCCTACTGGGGTCGTGGGGAGAACTGGAGCCCATCCCAGTGGTCAATGGGAGAGAGGCAGCGTACACCCCGGACAGGTCGCCAGTCAGTCACATGACCACACACAGAGACAACCAACCACACAGACTCCCATGGGCAATTAAGAGTGTTTAATTAACCTAGCATGCATGTTTTTGGACAGTGTGAGGAAGCCGGAGCACCTGGAGGTACTCCAGGTATATGCAAACTCCACACACCCAGCGCCCTGTTCCCCAGGGGATTCAAACCAGGAACCCTCTTGCTCTGAGGCACAGGTGGTACTCGTCAACTTTTATGTAAAGTGTAATGCAGTTCAATTAGATATGAAAACGTCCATAAAATAACTAATCTGACTGAGTTCTAATGTTTAATGCTTACTTGAATTTAGTCTGCCAGAGTAAAAACAGTCATTTGTAGAAATGATCATTGCCTTGATCAATCAATGGCATGTAATGCTGATTTACTTAGAATTGAGTTTGACTCCAGTGTCCATTTGAAAGATGCCTGAGGGAATTGATGGCTCCTTCAGTGCCATTGTTTAAAAAGTTCCACCTTTCTACTTCTTTAAGATGTTTGTTCCGTGTCATAATTTTCATGTTGAGTACAGCTCCCAACACTTCTTCCACTAAAGAGCTGTTTAAAACTTCCCACATGAGTTGAATTCTGAAAGAGTATTTGCTTTGGGGTCCAGCAGAAATATTGAAGGAAGTCTAAATTAAGATAATAAAATGTAATCAGAAACTACAAAAACTAAGGTTGGTGTTTTCAAGAGTTTAAAAGTGTCGCAATCAGTCAGTTGTGCAAATCTGCAACTTCCCAAACACATTTAGTTTAGAGGATGTAAATGATGAGCCTTTTACAAACAGCCTTTTATCACTGACCTCAAACCCACCATTGCATTATTTTTTACAAATAAATAGACAAAAACATGGCTTAACTTAAACTTCTCTGTAAAATGTAAAACCGTCTCTGTGTGGAGGTAGACATAATGATGTCCTGAAGGGGGAGTCCTGGCACCACCACACGATCAAATCATGGATTACTGAACAACCCGAAAGCTCTCATCACACAGCGTTACTCCACGTAACACATGCTCCTGTAGCTCAACCCAGCAACTGTTGGACGCCTTTTTCAGTCTGACAAATTACAGGGCTAATAACCATGAAACAAGGTGTCCTCATATGGTTGGCCTTTCTGCTGTGGACCTCAGGTAAATTTAGAGACACTGCATGTGGCCTCAATATTTTTGGTGTTTGACACGTGATTTTGTTTTTTTTTTGTTTCTTTGAAGAATGGCCATAATCAAAATCAACAATGCAATGTTTTTTGTTTTTCAAAAGTTCTGCTATTTTCACACAGTTCATGTCAACGGGAGTGACGTCTACCAGACCCCAACGCTGTGGGAGAAGGAGGGCCAGAGTGCCACTATACACTGTAACCACACAAAGGGTCCTGAATATTACCAGATGTACTGGTACAGACAGCTGCCAGGAGAAGACATGGATCTTATCGTGTTCACACAAACAGCCAAAAAGGATCACGACTTTGGAAGTCACAGCAAAGACAAATTCTCTGCCACCAAGCTCATCACTGAACCTGAGAGCGGGACATTCACAGTGAAGAATCTGAGGTCTAAAGATAAAGGCTTGTATTTCTGCTCCGTGAGTCAACACAATGATGCAGGTGATTTAGAGAGCTGCACAAATACTCAACTGATCGTCTCACTGTGAATTGAAGATATCAGCATGTCTTATTCTCTACAGAGGGTGCTCTAGAGCTGAAGAGAACATCAGGTCAGTCTTTTCAGATTACAAAGTGTCATTTGAGTATGAGACCATTTATTGGTCTTAAAGTCCATAACAGTTGAGAGTTGATCATCTTTTTTCTTTTCTTTTTATTAACTCATATAATATGAAACGGTTTGTGTGTTTATTTTTTGTCACACATAGCAAATTGACATTGAACATGTCAAATCTCGCAGCGATCGGTCACAATTTTACAGCAGTGTTAAAACCTTTGCATGTAAGAAACTTTCCCTTCCTCTTTGCCCACAGAATCAGAGAGCGTCCCACTCTGCAGCGACACGCCTACCTGCATGTGTTCATATGCCAATAGCTACACTGAACAATAACTGAGACTGTTAGTTTCACAACATGGACACGATAGGATGTTGTTTCTTTAGCTTGATGGTGCTTGTGCTCTGTTTACTAGGTAAAGTAATTGTACAACAGCCTATTGAATACACTGAATTTAAGAGTTTATGAAGATGTTCCTTCTGGTAACTTTGAATGTTTTGCACATAGATCTGACTGATGGAAGAGATGTCTACCAAACCCCTATGTTGTGGGAGAAGGAGGGCCAAAATGCCACAACGCACTGTAATCACACATGGGGTGCTGGATATTACCAGATGTACTGGTACAGGCAGCTGCCCGGAAAAAATATGGAGCTCATCGTGTACACAACTACAGTCGCAGGAGGTAACGACTTTGGGAGTCACAGCAAAGACAAATTCTCAGCCACCAAGACTAAAGCTGAGAGCGGAACATTCACAGTAAAGAATCTGGAGCCAGAAGATCAAGGCTTGTATTTCTGTGCTGTTAGTGAGCACGGTGACACAAACACATGTTAAAGCTGAGCAAAAACCTCTGAACTCTGTTCTCGTCTGAACTTATCTGCTCTGCTGTCGGGGGACCTCCAATCCAACCACACAATGTCTGACAGTCATGTGACACTCCCATATCCAAGCCTTCACATCTGTGCTGTGATGTCAGAGCTCCCATCACACACACTGACAGCCACTGAGCTCTCTGATTCAGTCTTTACAACACAGTAATGATCCCAGCTGCTCTGATCAGACTCTCTGCTGCTCTGCTCTGTGTTGGAGGTACTTCATGTACACCAGTTCATGGTAGTTTTTATTGTGTTGTTTCTGTAACCTCATATGAATTTGTGTCCTTCAGGTGTAGCTTATGGGAGTGATGTGACCCAAACTGGTCTGCTGTGGACGTATGAGGGTCAGTCTGCCACCATCGACTGCAGCCACACCAAGGGTGCTACTTACGACGAGATGTATTGGTACCAACAGCTGCCAGGAGAGGGAATGAAGCAGATCGTTTTTACCACTGCATACAGTGATCATCAATATGAAAGTGGTTTTGACAAGGACAAGTTTACAGCAGAGAAGAAGAATGCTCAGACTGGATCTCTGACAGTAAAAAATCTACAGCCTGAAGACAGCGGAGTGTATTTCTGCTCTGTGAAAGAACACAGTGATGCAGGTGATTTAAGGAGCAGCACAAAAACCCTGCTGCTGCTGTCACTGAGAACTGAATGTATGATTGTTTTAGAATCATCTACAGGGGGAGCTGTAGACCTGTACACTTGATTAGACTATTTTTCATTGAACGTATTATAGTCATCTCAAAGTACACGTTTGTCTCCTCCCTCTGAGCTGAACTGGTAACATGTCTGAATGTCAGTCACTACAGAGACGAAGAGGAAGATAAAGACATCATGAGCAGAAACCTCAGCAGGATCACTATTCTGCTTTTCTGCTTCTTCTGTAAGTTTGAGATGAAACTGGTTGATTGATTTGAGTTTACTTTTTCTTTATCCTTTCATAACTTTTTTTTTTTTTTTAACAGGTCTTTCTCGGAGCAACAATGTCCATCAGGAGCCTCCATCAATACTGGGAAGTCCTCAGGATTCTGTTCAAATCAGCTGCAGCCACTCAATCAGTTATTATAATACAATCCTGTGGTACCAGAAGCCCATGAAGGAGTCTGCTCTGAAACTGATCGGATATATTCAATACTCTAACCCTGTGTATGAGATTGATTTAAAACAGAGTTTTAATATGACAGGAGATGGCTCAAAGAAAGCTGAGCTTCATGTGCTGAAACTCCAAAAAGGAGAGAGCTGCATTTACTACTGTGCAGCTAGTAGACACAGTGACTCAGTTACCTTCTCATCAGTACAAAAACCCTCTCTGATAATCCACCACACAAACACACTCTGAAGAAGAGGACACCTGCATCTACAACAAGTTAATGGCAGTAAATGAATCTAGATCTCATCATTAAAACCTCCTCTTCCTGTGTATCTGCTCTGTTGTCGGGGGACCTCCAATCCAACCACACAGTGTCTGACAGTCATGTGACACTCCCATATCCAAGCCTTCACATCTTTGCTGTGATGTCAGAGCTCCCATCACACACACTGACAGCCACTGAGCTATCTGATTCAGTCTTTACAACACAGTAATGATCCCAGCTGCTCTGATC